ATCACAAAATTCACAACCACGAAGTCGTTTTTATTGCAAACGAGACGTACATATTCCCACCTCTCTGCTCCAACCTTCTTTCTCCCCCCATCGCCCCATCTCTTCCGCTACACCCTCTCACCAACCGAAACGACCCGCATCATCGAAACCCACGCCCTCCCAGAGAGAAAGATATGCTGCCATCGTATGTATGCCATCCTAGTCCCGTTTCTTCCGCACAAGGCACACCAACTTGCCGCTATTGCCGAGAAATGAGCACTTTTGACCGCCCCCCCAAAGCAACCACCAGTGTGTTGGTGTTATGCGCTACCGGGTACTACACTTTAGCATAGCCCCGCAGGGACGACGCCAAAGGAGGGGTTCATAGGAACCCATCCCTTGTCGCCCGCGAGCTTGATGAACGCCAAGCCACCCTCGTCGGCAGGCACGAAGCGACCGGTTGCTTCTGCGATCTGCCCGGGGGCGAGCGCGTCGCCCTGGAAAAAAGGGTGGGCGGAGTTTTGTCGTCGTGCATCAAGCGAACGAAACGATGTGGTACTGCTGTAGGCTCCTGAAACGAACGATGTTTCGCGATTAGGCAAGCACGTGGTTCGGCGTACAGACGACGTTTCTTGTGCGGCCAAAACGGCTTCAAATTGATTCGAAGACCCTGTAAGCGAACGAACGATGTGGTACGCTAGTACGACGATGTTTCGCGACTAGGTGTAGGTCGTTCGGCGTACGGAGGACGTTCCTCGTGGCTAAAACAGCTTTCAAATAGATGTTAAAGAACCATAGGAAGATCCTACTTCAACTGGTGAGATAAATCTCCGATAGAGAACATCATCTTGTACGTTGTTATCGTCCGGGGAGCAAAAGGGTGGAGGGCATCTGTACCTCCTGCAATTCTCGTCGTTACAGGATACGGCCTTTGGCAAAGATTAGGTGCGATAACTTAGGGTATCCCCTCAAACTTAGGGTATCCCCTCATCGTCTTATTATAGCACGCAGCAACCATCTAGACGGTTACCACCAAACCGTTGGGTACCGCCTTTTTCTCCTCCCGTACATAAGTTTGAAACGGAAGGCATTCTCAGAAAAACGTGCCAATATTCTTCACGAGCTGTCCTTCGGTCAAGGGAGCCTGTGGGTAGAAAACGTGTCCGCGTGCCTTACCCGCCACAGGCTGACATTTTCACTGGTCAGTCGACAAGAGCGGCCTACGCCAACCAGGGAAACACACAGGCGCACGCACGGCTTCCAGACGGTGACTTACCGTCATTTGAGACTCCATGCTGGGTCCGAAAAGAATGGGGACTTCGTTCTTGGAGGTACAATAATCCATGCTGGTAAAAAAGAAAAGAAAAAAAAGAGGAGAAAGGGCGGGAGATCGAGAAATAGACACGCAGACAGACGGCAGGAGAGAGTGAGATTGAGACGGAGTGGGAGACAGACTTCGCTTGCACTCATGCACAGCAGATTTGTCTTCCTCTGTGCCGTTGCATCTCTGTGCTGTTGCATCCATTTGCCATTCAATTCAACGAACTACCGTTATGGATCTTGTGATACTGCGGTTCCATCGCAAACCTCATTTGTTTTGGCAGCACTGCTGCTATCCTTCATTGGCGCTTCCTTTGTGCGGCCTAACGGTAGGCCGCACTGAACACGTTATGGACAAACATCAAGATATTCCAGTGGGCCAAAGACAAGAGCCCAGCAATGCTACAACGAAACTTGAACGCACAACAAAAACGTCCTTAGTATCTCACGCGCGTTCGTCGATTTCCAGTGGCGGGTATGGTGTCCATTCCGAAAAGAGACGTCGCCCCCCCCCCCCCCACACACAAGAGTGCTTCAAACGAAAAAAGTCCCTCGTGGTACTCTGTTTGATGTACTCGTTCTAGATATGTTATGCGGGTCCTCTGGCATTTGGGGTATATGGGCGAGTTAGAGACTATAGGGCCCCGCCCCTGGTGCGTGAGTCTTGCTCCCTCCCCTCGGTTCTGTTGGGTTAAGGTTTGGGATGTGTGGGTGAGGGTTGGTGGTTTGGGTTGAGGTGGGTTGGTCGGGTGGAAACTGAGTGTGGAGGTACATACATTAGTACAGAGAGAAACAGGGAAACCTCTAACCTTTCACTTCTTGGCTCGTGACTGAAACCGTTCGGATACTGTCCTTTCAGCGACTTTGTGAAGGTATCCGGTGTGCTACGTTTGCACCCGAACGGTTTCACTCACGAGCCAACAAAGTGAAAGTTAAAAAGGTTTACCCTGTTTCCTCTCTGTACGGTGTACCACCACACCCAGTCTCCACCAACCAAACCCACACACGAACCGCCTCAAACCAACCTCCGCGCCCACACATCCCAAACCTTAACCCGAGGAGCAACACTGACGCACCAGGGACGGGGCCCTCAGTCTCTGACTCACCCATACCCAAAAGGCCAGAGGCCCTGCAAAACATATCTAGATCGAGTACACCACACATACTCAATTCAAAACGCACATGCAATGTAAAATTTGTCAAAATAAAGTCTTGTCGGGTACATGTGAGACATCCGACAGTTTCGCGCGAGCAGCGAGCCTGCAAGGGGTGCGGTTGGGACGGCAGACACGACCTTATTTGATCCGAGCACTATTGAGGCTCTCAGTGACACCAGCCAAGGGTACCAGTGATCCCTCCGGAGCGGGCTCAAAAGAGCACGGTGTCATCAAGGGGTGATGCAAGATGATAAATTTAAGCAGGCAGCAGGACCAGCCCACAGCTGGCTGTCGCTGCCAGCCGCCACGTTTCCTAAACTCGCACAGCCCACACAGCTGACGTGTTTTTGGCTCGAAGAGCCCACCGAACCTCAACCAAGCAACAAAAGGAAGAACTTGCACACAGTCTCATGTCTGTCTGTCTGTCTGTCTGTCTTGTCTGTCTGTCTACCTGCTTGCCTCCTTGTCTACCTGTCTGAGTATCTGTTGGTTGGATGACTTGTCTCTCGACCAAATATCATATTTCTAATTGTCTTAGCTTTACCTATCTATCTATCTGTCTCTCTGACTTATCAATCTCTTTGGTAAGCTGGGCTGTCTATCCCACCAAGATTGACATATTCTCCTGTCTCAACAGCAGTGGAGTACTCACGGGTCTTCGGTGAAGTCGCCGTTGCTTTCCTCGAACAGCACCGAGCCGTCTTCCGGGTTCGCGGCCACCGTCCACCCTCGATCGTTAGCAATACGAAGGTAAACCTTGTTGTTGTTCGAGAGTACCTGTTCATAATTTCGGTTGTATATAGGGTTAGAGGTCCCGGTCGTTTGGCGATGTTGAGGAGCACGTCCGTCGGCTTCCGCTTATCTGTTCCGATAATTTTTTGAGTGAGCGGAGCCGAATCTGGATTTTCCCACGGCAGACGCGAGGCTGCTGCTTCAGCGTGGTCGTGATCGCACGGGTTGTATATGGTGGCCTCGTCTGCTCGATCTGGGGATTCCGCAGCTGGAAAACGGTTCTGGGACCGGGTTTTCTTTTGACTGGGCGTGAGGTGGCTGAATTGAGCATTCCAGCACTTGGAACGAAGCCCTTCCCCAGTAGAACGCCACGGTCTAAGCTGGACCTTTTCGTTCCAGTCGACGTGACTTCAGGGCTTGGACTGGGCACGTCACGGGGGAAAAGTGGGCCTTCACTTCATAAGAATGGGCCCTTTCCGAATATAACTTGGCCTTCAGAGCTTGCTTGGTGTGGGCGTCGCGGGCTTGAATCGGGGACTTCGCAGCTTACGCTGTGGGCCAAATTGCTCAAATTGAAATCTCCTTCATTTGAACTGGACCACCAGGGCTCGGAGCCACCCCCCCCCCGGGTTGATCGGGTCATCCTGCACTAGCCTTGTCAAGCACAGGGCATGGTGTAACAACAGAGGAGAGAGGCAGAGAAGAAAAAACGAAAACAACATCGAAAAGCAAGCAAAAATCACCTGTACAATTTCTACCACCTCCCCGGGAAACAGTCCTTCCCCGGTCCGCGGGGCCTCTTCCTCTGGGAACGAGCGTATCCACTGCGGCTGCACGTTCGGCACCATGCGGTAGAAGAACTGCCCCTTGAGCCTGGCTCGACGACAACACCAAACAAAAGAAAGGAGAAAAGAAACGATGCGGGTTGACTTGGCGGACATGGCCGGACACGGCGCTGTATGCTGCAACGCGGTAAAGAGTGTTATGGGAGGGGGGGGGGG